AAACAATGGAATTTAACCCAAATTTGGGTTAAATTTGACTGTTTTAAATTATTTAAATTATTTAAATTATTTAACCCCACTGGTTTAGTTAAAAATAACTATTTATTAAGTAGGAGCAGTGGCGACTTAACTAAGGTTGACACTATAGATTTAACAGTGCACATGACATGATATAATTCATCAATTTTTTTTCTTATTTCGACGGTTGGATTGTTTTTATTTGATTTCACTGCAAAAATAACCCTTCGATGATTTATGAATAAAATGAAAAATAGCCATTCCTTTTAAAAATACGTTTTATGTTTCAGTGTACTAAAAAAGAACGGGTATTTACGACTCTTCGAACATTGAATATCGAAAACAGATATCGTTAGCTTTAATAACTGTACTTGTTTTCGCGTTGACTTAAGTAAGATAGAACGATATAAGTTAATTCATCATCATTAACACGGGGCGATCACTTTGATAAAACTGCTCATGTAATGTCCTAAAGACGAGCTGTCACGCTACCGTACGATATAAAAAAATATATCGCGAGACTTTAAAGTATTATATTTATTAGACACGTATTTAGCAGTTGTGTAAATATATAAAAGAGTGAATTTTAAAAATATATAAAACTACTTGACATAAAATATCGGGCAGACTCGAGCAGAAAAGGAAATAAATATATTGAAGAACATACGAATTTGCGTAATAAATCAATGAGGTAAAGAAATACGTATAAAAAAATTTATCGTACGTGACGCGAAGGAGATTTTCGTGTCGTCTGGTCTCAATCGGATCGCAAACTCAGGCCTTTACATGGAGATTGTAAGAATGACGCAGGAGGTACGAAATCGGGAAAAAGTGCATGCACAAACGCGCAAAAGAGCATTAATGGAGACCTTACAAACGGGGAAAAGGACGTCAAACGATAAAGAGAGCGGAAGAGATGCGTGAGGGAGAAGAAGAGCAAAAAGATGGAGTGAGAAAGGAAAAAGATAGAAAAAAAAACGTCGAAGGATGTAGTCGGGTGAGGGAAAAGTGAGGGGAGAGGAGGCAGAAGGCCACCGAGTGACAGGAAAGGACGAGAGAGATAGAGGGGAATGAGAGGGAACGTAAGGAGACAACAGAATCGGCTCTCTCTTCCTCTCACTGTCTTGAAAACAGATTTTTCATCGAACAGGTTTTTTTTCAGATTTTTAATGCTCCATTCTGTTTTATGGATCCAAGCCGAACGTTCTTGATTATCTTACGGCGATATTTACGATTTGGACGATAGCAAAGAAATTTCCATTCGACAGAATATTAATTAAAAGTGTTTTTACTGTCTAATATAAGTTATTACGAAACGTTTTTCAATACAAAGAAATTGCTGCACACAATAAATATGGATGAAATAATTTTCATTTTTAAATACCTTTCAATACCAACATTATATTTGCAAATCAAAAGCTTTGTAACAAAGTCAAACACGTGCTTTTACCGTGAACACCTAGAGCCGGCCCTGGAAGAGGGAGAGGATGGATAGAGAGGGGAAACTGATGGGTAGGGGGAGGGTGGGCGAACCGAGTGGGGGTCAATCGCGAGAGCAGGCAAGAAAGAGAGAGAGGAAACGACGAGGTCGTTCGAAGGTGGGAGCGCGAGGTGTCCGAGCGACGGAGGAGAAGCAGATGTCTGACGGGAGGGGGATGGCGCACGGGGGTGGCGGAGCGCGCAATGTGCAGCGCGGGGGCAGACGGTGGTCGCGACTTGCTGGCAGTCTCGTTGATCCGGCTGCGAGCAGTGCGCGCCGTGACGTGACAATGGCGGTAGTCGTAATTGCGGTACGGTGCGATACTATGATCAGCTGATCGACCGAGCCTGAGAGAAAAGGGTAGAGAAATCAGAGGGTCGAGATCGAGAGATCGAGAGTGAGAGCGAGAGAGAAAGAGAGCGCGCGGGCATTCTTAAGGCACCGACGGAGAGAGAAAAAGAGAGAGAGAGAGAGAGAGAGAGAGAGGCCGAAGGAGAAGTTTGCCCCCTCGCAAACCACCTCGCTTGATCATGTCGTCGCTCTCGTGATCGGGCTCAGAAGGTGTTTCTTCTCCCCACGGTTGTATGTGAATAATACAGTGTGCCGTCCCGGCGCTCTCTCCCCCGTCCTCCCCGTTCATTGCCACGCGTGTACATCCGCTCGGTGTGTTGTGTCAGTGCGGCACGGATGCGTGGGGTTCGCACGACCGATAGATAAATGTCTCTCAGTCATGCCCGCCGTGCGGAAGTACCGAAGGGATACCAGCGAGGTGAGCTGCTGCCTCAAGTATGTGATCTTTGGATTTAACGTCATGTTCTGGGTGAGTACCAAGCGAGAGTCGCAACAGTTGTATATACTTTATAAGCGTAGTAAGTCTCGGGATCCGCGAGATTTCGGACATCGGCTCACCGGAGGCGACGGCTCGTCATTCTCGAAAAAAAGAAAAAAAAATGTGTATGTCTTGTCATCGAAAACTCTCAGACAGCAAATTAGATGTCTCCGCAAGACGTGTAGCTTCATCAGCCAACTGAGGAAGCCTCGAGTCTTAACCGAAGAAATTCTGATCATTATATGTTCAAATCTCTCGAGCTTCTCCCGATGTTGCGAACGATGTTGCCTGCAGGCGGATTCCGGATGTTAACGTCCGAACAGATTTCGAACATTACTGCCGAAGAGTTTTTGAATATCACCTTCGACGAGAGAATCCGAATATTATCTTTCACGAGGCGACATTATCTTCGACGAAATTATTCTCGATTTTAAGATAAAAATCTCGTTAGCTCGAAAGAATTCATTATGTTTTGGACGTTATGTCGCAGGAATTTTCAAACATAAATTCTAAAAAGGCCATAACTTCATTAGAAGAAATGGCATAAAGCCAGAGGCAAGATTTGGTAGCTGTAAGCAGTTCAGTAAACGGAGTAGTTCTATAATGGAGTTCCTTTTAATTTAAGCTTCGTGCTGTACAGAGTCATTATTAATTTTCCGTGTGTTTGTACGAAAAGTGTAACGCGAGCGAACAATGTTTTACTCCAAGGTGGAGAG